TTATATTCAGCACCTTATTTACATCATGGTCTTTAGTATGCAAAAAGCTAATTCTAATATTGTGCCTGTATTGTGGCTTTTGTTAAGTGCCATTGAATCTAACCATTGCATCGCTGTATAGGGTTTCTGAGGAGTGGCTAGTGGGTTTGAACAATCAATCTTGCAGTTATGGTCCAGTGCTTATCCTACAGTGTTATTTTTCCTTCTTCTTCCCTCTTCTTACAATCAGTGAGCCTACAGATTAGACACATACCAGCAGTAATGTGCTATAGGATCCCCTTCTCCACTGCGGTTACATTATAGTGCCTCATATATTTAAAAGTGATTTTACATTCATCTTCTTACAGCATCCCTGTTAGGTAGGCAGGATGATTATTAGTATCCCAGTTTATAGATGCGGAACCTGAGTTACAGAATGGTAAAATGATTTGCCCAAAGATATACAACTAGTAATGGTCCAGTCTAAAGTTTAATTTCTTCCATACTGCCTCCCTTATTGCAGCTTCCCTCCTCTGAAGAGTACAAACATAATAAGAAAAAACAGTTCCAAACATAAAAGCTGAATGAATTTATCACTGGCTTAGACATACTATAAAACAGTTAAAGGAAGCCTTTCATGAAGATGGAAATGATATCAGATGGGAATGTGAGAATACACAAATGATTCTCAACTGTGGGTTATTTTACCCCTCTCCTAGGGATATTTGGCAAAGTCTGGAGTCTGGAGACATTCTTGGTTGTTACAACTGGAGGTTGAGTTGTAAAGGTGCTCCTGGCACTGAATGGGTAGAAGTATGGCTAGTACTTTTGTGCCACACATTTTTTCACTAGTTTTTTTTTTTTTCCACCTGGAGGTCCCCAAAACTTCTTAAATAGATAATATTGTAATATATAAAGTATAGAAATAAACAATAATCTCTGGTATGCCTGATAATTTGATAAACCTGGTAAACTTCAAGTTATAGTGAATAAGGGTCTTATTGATTACTATTTATATAAATGAAATCTGATCTCTAGTGTAATGTGATTTATTACTTTGAATGACAAATTGAGTTTCTTGTATGTTGCCACTGATTTTTCTTAAGTAAATTTAAAACACCAATACTTAATTCAAAGTGTTAAAAACTTGGGTATGCACATTTTGCTGTATATGTTCAATGAAACAATCGTAAAAACGTTGTTAAAGAGAGAATAAATGTAGTTAATATATTACAAAGATTGTATCATATAATATTTCTCACTGGGAGAAATAGCAAACATGCACACACATACATATGTCACATAGAGGATTTTCTTTTAGAATGATATTTTGCATCCTGTTTTTCACATTTAAAATTTTTAATCATGGAAAATTTAGAGTCTACATAAAAGTAAGAAGAATATGCTAATGCTATTACTAATACTATGGAGTCCTGGAAGCGTAGTGGTTACGATTTGGGGCTGCTAACCTCAAGGTCGGCAGTTCTAAACTACCAGCTGTTCCATGGGAGAAAGATGAGTCGTTCTGCTCCCATAAAGATTTACAGCTTTGGAAAACCTATACAAGGGTGCTATGAGTCAGAACCGATACTGTGGCTCATAATTACCACCTCCATTACTATTGCTACTTTGAACTCTTTATCAACTAAGATTTTTCTATTCTTGCTAGACTATTTTAAAGAAAATGTCAGATATTTTATTTTATTTGCACATACTTTATGAATTTTTATCACTAAACCTTTTATTTTTATTTTTTTGTGGAACCACTATACTATTGGAGTCCTTGTGTGATGCTATAGGATAAGCACTGGGCTGCTATAGCAAGGTTGGCAGTTCAAATCCACAAACTGCTCCTTAGAAATTCTATACAGCGTCATTATGAGTTGGAATCGGCTTGATGGCACCAACAGCAACAACCACGCTAATATCACAATCAGCAAGATGAACAATTCTTTACATTACTCCTTAAAATACCCAGTACATATTCAAGTGTTGTTTTTTTTATCTCATAATTCTTACTGTAAGTAATATGTTCAAATTAGGATCCAAGTAAGTTCTCATGTCATCACTGATTCTTGAGGTTCTTAAGTCTCTCTTTCTAAATAGTTAATAAATTACTACTTTATAAATTGATCAAAAGGAGCTCTGGTAGTGTAGTGGTTATGAATCGGGCTGCTAACCTCACAGTCAGCAGTTCGAAACCACCAGCTGTTCTGCGTTAGAAAGATGAGGCTTTCTGCTCCCGTAAAGATTTTACAGTCTCAGAAACCCTGTACGGGGTCGCTGTGAGTCAGAACCAACTCCATGGCACTTAACAACAACAAAAACAAATTGATAAAACTAATACATATGGATACCCTTGACATTGTTGTTGTTGTTATGTGTCATCGAGTCGGTTCCGACACATAGCGACCCTGTATAGGGTTTCCAAGGGTGTAAATCTTTACGGGAGTAGAAAGCCTCATCTTTCTCCCGCGGAGCAGCTGGTAGTTTCGAACCGCTGACCTTAAGGTTCGCAGCCCGATTCGTAACCACTAAGCTACCCCTTGACATATGCATATATATATTCCTCATTTCTTCCTATTCCTCTTGACCTTATTTTATGTAAGCATAGATGCAAACATATAGAATCACACATTCCACCAAGATAACACTTCAAAATGACCACCAGCAAGATTATTCTCTTATTAAGCTTTTCTTGGTAGTTGTTATTTGTGTGGAGTCGATTTTGACTCCTGGTGACCCATGCGTGGAGAGTAAAACTTTTCTAAAGGATTGTCAAGGCTGCGACCCGTTAAAGCAGACTGCCAGACGTGTGCGTTCCAAATGCCAACCTTTTGGATAGTAAGCAAGTGCTCAACTGTTTGCACCACCCAGCTGCCTAAGTTCCTCTTATAAGCTTTAATTCAAGTAAAGCTTAAATCTGGCAAGTATGTACTCTAGAATGTCTCAGATGGCTTTTGAGTACTATTGAACACTTTCTATCTAAGTCTTTTGGCTATACAAATAAATTATTTTTAAGTTTTCTTGAAGCTTGATAAATCTTGGTACCAAATTTTTATGTTCAAAATTGTACATGACACATAAGTTAATATCACTATAATATAATCAACAGTGAATAGCATCATAACCTATATTAACTTTCTCTTGTCATATATTCCTTTATGGAACACAGACACACCATTCTATGTTTTATTTTATACAACCCTGTATAAAGGGGTTGTTGTTGCTGTTATGTGCCGTGGAGTCAGTCTCAACTCATAGCAACCCTGCAAGGGTTTCTGAGGCTGTAAATCTTTATGGGAGCAGAAAGCCTCATCTTTCTCTTGTGGAACAGTTGGTAGTTCGAACTAGAAGGGGTGGGGAGCCTTTTTTCATTCAAAATTTAAAACATCATTCGTGGGCTATACAAAATTATCACTTAGAAGTTAACCTGCTATATATTTGGTCAAACATTTAATTAACTCACCCCTACTAATGTGTGGTGTTGTGCTGTAGGATAATTCTCTGATAATTGAATTATCAGTCGATTTGAACCACAAGGACGATGATTCAAATTCACCAGGTGCTCCTTGGAAACTCTATACAGGGTCGGCTATGAGTTGGAAGCAACTCGATGGCACTTAAAAACAACAAGCATGTGATGGCTGGAATTGCAAATGTTTTGTCAGGACCAGATCACATGATTTTGAGGTCCTTTTGCAGCCAGATATGGTGGCTGCATGTTCCCCACCTCTGCTGTATAGGGTTTCTGAGAAGTGGCTGGTGGGTTTGAACCACCAACCTTGCATTTCAAACGGAACTTGCAGTACAGTGCTTTATTTCTACAGTGCCACACCAGGACTCCAGTGCTTATAGGAGTTAAGATTAATATCCAGAATCTGTGTCTTTCTTGTATTTGTTCCTTGATTAATTATAGTTATACATATTATATATGAAAACAAAATCTACTACTACATCTTTTTGTTTTTTTAAATTCTCTATTTCTACCAAGACTTGAATTATTCTGATGGTATCTCTGATACATATTTGTGTGCTTTCATATAGAAGAATAAAATATATGTAGGATATTATGGTATTTATTGAAGTTATGATTTTCCAGAAAGTATACATATTTCTTATAATCTTCATCTTTTTATATAACATTTATATTATATTAATCATTGAATAAATCTATGTAAATACAATCATACATGAAATCATATGATAAAGAAGATCTATTTCATATAGTATAATCATTTGTGGCAGATTGCATGTTATAAGGGAGTGCGATGGTTCCATATAATAAGCTCTGGACTATGAGCCACAAGGTTTGTGGGCCCAGCCCACCAACCACTCTGAGAGAAAGATGAGACTTTTCTGCTCCTGTGAAGATTTCAAGTCTCTGAAACCCTATACAGGGTTACTGTGAGTCAGAACCGACTCAGTGGCACTTAACACCATGATATAAATAAATTTCACATATTTCTCATATTTTATGTTCAGAATTCTGTTAATAGGTAGATAAATTTACCTCTGTAAATGAAAATTGTGCTCAAAGATAGTGAGTTTTTGACCAGAGTATCATCAGTTACTACTGGTTTTGTTATTTTCCTTTCGTGTTTTTCACGCTACATTTGTCGTTCCAATAAAACATTGCTATTGATTCAATTGTGATAGTTTTCTTTCAGTAATGCCAAAAATTAGGCTACCGATAAGTTTTGGCTAATCAGTTATATTTTTTTCTGCTTCATTCCTTGGAAATCTTTCTGAAATATTTTCAAAACTTACTTTCTGAAAATTGAGATTCTACCATGGTTACTATCAACTAAACATATTACAGAAGATTGGTTTGACTTTAAGTAATAAAAGCACACATTTTGCTACAGAATAAAAACAGAAAAGGAATTTAGGCAGGCTTATATATGCAAATTAATATTAAATATGATAGTGACATTTTAAACAAGAGATGTAGAACAGATCAATACACTTAATTTCAAACTGCATATAAGTCATGTGGTGATTTTTGTTTTGTTTTCTAGTGGCTTTTCATGGCCTACCACTGAAAATCAAGAAAGAACCCCACAGTCCGTGTTCAGAACTCGGCTCTGCCTGCAGTCAAGAACAGCCCTTTAAATTCAGCTATGGAGAAAAGTGCCTGTACAATGTCAGGTAAAGAAAACAGGTGTATGTGTATAGGATGGGGGTTCTTATTGAAACAAACAAACAAAAAAGCCAAGGTAAAATAAAATCTGAAGTTATAATTTATGAGTTTCAACTTCAGCATATAACAGGCTCATTAGGTAATGCATTTAATAGAACTCCAAAGAACCGTTTACCATTTGATCACACACTTTTAGAATCATTTTAAAGCAATAACTTTTATCCAAATCATTAGTCGTTTTTCTACTATAGAAGATCCATCTTGAGTTTGAAAAGAGGGTCTTACTTGGCATTAGCAGCTTTTAGAAGTTCTCATTAGAATGAATACATTACACACTTTAGATAGAGAGTTTGTAGAAAAATGAAACATTTGGCAGGTCTAAGCAGTACATTAGTTATTTGACAGGCTTTGTAGATGATCTATAATATGCATTCATGGACAATTGCAGTGAAACTAGAATTTTATAAGGCTTAGCAGAGGCTATTATGTATTAAAAAGCCAGTTGTTCCCTCTGATAATATTAAAGGGTGGAGCAGTAAAAAGTACGTTGTTCATTTGTTAGAAAATTTGATAACATGCATGTTCATTTAAAACCCTTTATAGTAAATTGCACACTGTTACTTTTTAGATCGGCCTCTAATTGCATAAAGAAAAACTTGGCACTGTGTATTGAATATTATTACTCTCAATGAACACAGTAAAAACTTAGTCCCTAAAAGGAAGCAGTTTGGAAACTTATAAAAATGATGACATATATTTGCATTGCATTGTAAGACATACTGATTCAGTTTCATAATACATTATTATCCAAAAGGGTTTTCTCTTAATCATAAGTTTACTACACACACTCTTTGTTTGCAAGATATATAAGATTCTAGGAGTGTAGATGTTTGCAATCTCATGGCAACTGACCAATTTTCAGATATTCTCTTACTATTTCTTTTTGTAAACTTGTCTTTTATATGGTTTTTTCTAGGTAGTTCACCAGAGCCTGAAATTATGAGCCAGCTCAGTTGAAATCACAAAGCTTTTTTTTTTTATTTTTTTATTTTTTTGAAAGAAAATTATTAAAGCATACTGAGATAATATTGGTCATTCTGTTATTTTATAGTTTAGTTTTATTTTTACATTTTCTCCTTAAGAGTACTGTATATGCAAAGCAACATTATTTAACATATTAAAACCCTTTTTAATCAATGAACTGGTTAGATATAGAATTGTCCTTCCATTTCAGCATTGATCATACATGTGACTATGAAATTTTATATGCTTGGCATCCATAAATTATGAGCAGTAGAGAGAATTGCTCTGATGTTTTGAGACTCTTCTCAGGGACCATAATTCCCACAGTGATATTTGATGTATAAAAATAAATTCTGATACGATCATCAGTAGGCAAACAATCTAATTTAACATATCACTTCATGGGGGAAAAGTAATCTACTAGTACAGAAAATGTGTCCCATTTTCTTCTTTTTTCATTCAGAATGAAATAGGTAAACATTTTTAAAAGAAATGAGTTTTCTTCTAAATAATGGTAATAGCTTAGGTGGAACCAAACATGCTGACTTCATTTAAATGTGGAGTAGACTTACTACACAGCACATATTCCTTCATTTCTACAAAGTGTTTTTGTACTTCTGATTGTAATTCTATTGTATATATGGAGCAAAATAATACATTATTTTACAAGTCAATGAAAGACTAAGTGTCATTTTCTTAAGAAAAAAAATATGTATTTAAAAGAAAATACAATATTTTAACCTAGAAATCTTTTTGTTTGGAAATTTAACTAAAAGTTCTTTTTAGTGAAATCCTTTATAAATTAAAAAAATTGGTTAAATCATTCTCAAAAGCTACACATGAGAAACCTATTTAAATTAATAAATATAAAGTTAACCCTTGAACAATGCATTGCCAGCCACTTGAACAGCTGACAATCTGCATATGACTTTTGACTCCCTCAAAACATAACTACCAATTATAAACTGTTGACTGGAAGCCTTACCAAAAACATAAATAGTCCACTGACACATATTGTGTGTGTTATATGTATGATATGTATGTGTTATATGTATGATATGTGTGTATTATATGTACTAAATGCTGTACACACATAAACACGGCATTCTCAACATGAGGTAAAAAAGTATTTCACAAAAAGTGCAACTTTATCTCACTTGCTGATGTAGCTGTATGAATTGACTTTCCTTTTTTCACAATGGTCCTTACTCTGATTTCATTTATATTCAGATGGTGGACCCCCACAGCTGCAGATCACAATTGATGGAACATAATCAAGAAATTCAACTTCCTTATAATGTCATGATTTTTCTTTGCTTCTTGGGAGCACGTCCAGCATCACTAGTAGTATTTCTTTGGGTCCCAAGGTGTTATTCAAAGCTTATGGTATTGCACTGAAGATGATGAAAAATACATTGGAACTGAGAGACATCACCTTTTTATTATAATACGTAATTTATTGGAGAAACGAACTCAGAGATTATTAACATCACATGGGATTTTTAGAAAATTCAAGTAAAGTGGATTTGTGCAATTCAAACTTGTGTTGTTCGAGGGTCAACTGTATATAAAACAAGCTTTATTATTTTCTTGTTCTGTAATAGTGAAAGTTGAGGTGTTAGATTATAATAACATTTTATCCTTAATAACATTAATTGGTAACTGTTCTTTTATGCTAAGAAAGCTTAAATTTATCAGTGATATTTTAATTTTCCTTATTATTCTGCATTGTTTCATATGAGGAAGGTAATGCTAAGCATCCTTTATTTAATATATATACTTGTTGTTGTAAGTGCCATGTCCAACTCATAGCGACCCTGTGTAGGGTTTCCAAGGAGCGGCTGGTAAGTTGGAACTGCTGACCTTGAAGTCCAAACCAACTTGGGGTGCAGTGTATTATTCTGTGGTGCCACACCAGGACTCCAATATGTATGTATACTAGTACATATAATATATGTAAGTGAGTCAAAAGTATTACCTTAAGGTTCTACCACATATAAAGGCAAAGCCAGGTATTGGACACATTTTATTATATAAATGCTAATTCTTGTTCTAAAATCTTTTATAGAAAAAGAATGATAATTTTACAAGTACTTAAAGATTTGGGAAAGATATGTCAAACATGCTCAAGAAAATATATAAAAAATATTGTTAAGTGCTGTAAAGTTGGTTCCAACTCACAGCAACCCTATATAGTGTTTCTGATGAGTAGCTGGTAGGTTTGAACTGTGGACCTTGTGGTTTGCAGTCCAATGCTGATCCCACATATGTAGAAGTAGTATCGCTGCTATCATGGACAGAGGTTTTCCTTATGCTAAGTTGTTTGTATGCATACTTAAAAACACCTACTCATGCTGTTATGTCTAACTTAGGCAATTTTTTTGTATAAGAGTATGGAGATTTTGAAGTTTACAGGTTATGGAATGAAAAGGAAAAGCATACATAGAAATTTCCTTTTTGGAATTTTTTTTCTAAATTACTCTGTATAAACAAATTTTCTGTTTTCTTTTGTTCCTTGGGTAGTGCCTATGATCAGAAGCCACAAGTGGGAATGAGGCCCTCAAATCCCCCAACACCATCCAGCACTCCAGTATCCCCACTGCATCATGCATCTCCAAATTCAACTCACACCCCTAAACCTGACCGGGCCTTCCCAGCTCACCTCCCTCCATCGCAGTCCATACAAGATAGCAGCTACCCCATGGACCACAGGTAAACTGCAGATATCGTTTTTGAAAAAAAAAAAAAAAAAAAGAAAAAATGCTTTTATTATTCTTGGAAGAAATTCTTATTGCCACATCTAAAGACCTCATAGTTGATTTAAGGTGAATACTAATTTTGCACATCTGTGCAAAATATTTTTAGAAAAAACTTGCTTATCTGTAGTTACAAACAATATATGGAGAAGGTCATTTATAAACATTCCTTTTATAAACATGTAAATTGGTTGCTAAAATGGAAGAATTTATCTGTATAGTGACATTTGAACATCTCCCTTTCTGTTTGCTTGAATTACATTGCTTCACTTAAACTTTAAATCAGATCATCTCACTTATATGAGCATATGTGTGTACTTGTTTTATAAAGTTAAAAGACTGATTTTAGTAGGTGGCTTAGGGAAGTAGGTTCTTTAATTGAATTTGGTTTCTCTGTAGATAATTTTGTGGAATAGAACTTATTTTATTAAATACATTTACCATCTTTTGCACATGTTGAATGTTAAATGCATATAGATGTATGAATTGGACACTGAGAATATGAAGTTAAAGTATTTTTAGGTAGTATTACTTAAAGGAACAAGACAAAAACTAGAATATGGAGTTAGGGATGCTGAGACTGGAAATTCTTGAATTTAGAGACAAAGAAATTCATGTTAAAATAAAACATTAAAGGGATTTTGGAGGTCCTTAGACACTACCTTAATATCCTGCTTATCTGATCATGTATAGTGTTCCTGCTTTCGTCTTCTGCATTGTATATATATGTGTGTGTGTATATATAGGTGTGTGTGTGTGTCTATGTGTATCTGTCTATCTATCTATCTATCTATCTATCTATCTATCTATCTATCTATCTATCTATACTAGTAAATGTTTGGAGTCCTGGTGTGGCGCTGTGAGTTAATGTGCCAGACTGCAAAGCCGTTTGAACTGCAAAGTCAGCAGTTCAAGCTCACCAGCTGCTCCTCGGAAACCCTATACAGGGTCTCTATGGGTTGGAATTGACTCGACGGCTCTTAACAACAACAGTAAATGTTTAACACCAAGCACTCTGATTTATAGCATTTTCTAAGTCTGTGTTGTAAAAGCTGCCCTCATGACCAATCACAAACCATCTATGTGACATCACTGAATGTGGATTTGGAAAGAGATGTATAGTGGCACACTAATATAAAAGCATAATAATGACCTCAAGAACATAATTAGAGAAATATAGTAAAATAACACTTGAGTTTTTAATTGCTTTTATTTTTAAATGTAATTTAATTGCCATGTTATATAATTTAATTATTAATAATAGCTCTGTTAACAATTGGCTCACAAAATTCCTGAACACTTAACAACTGCCCACATAAACTGGTGCAAACCAGCTCTGACACATCATTCTAAAAATAACTCATCCAAAAGAATTTTTTAGATCAGCACAGGAACGCAAAAGATACGTCCCTAGCACCTTTCTAAAACTTAGGGCACACTCAAATCAGCTTTTTATAGTGTATATGACAGGACTTAATCTCAAAGTCAGTAGCTTTTTTGGTATGAATGGAGAAGATAAAAGCATTCTTTCGCATAAAAAACTAAGCTATATCTTGTTTACCTTAGTTTTCATCACTAGCTCTTCTTATTAAATGCTTACTATTCTTTTTCCTTCTCACTCTGTAAGCTTGAGACCTTGTCAGAGGGTAATGGTATGTGCATCTGTGTAAACAGTTTTGTAAATACACATGAAAGCGTTCTTATTGCAGGGTGGGCCATTAAACACAAGCACATTGTGCAGGACTGAAAAGGAAAAAAAAAAGAATATGAGCACACAAAAAACAAATTTTGTTTTTCCCACTTCTGGTGATTTCTCAGAATTCTTGATAACTGAGTCTCTCACACTTCAAACGAGTGCCAGAATTGTAAACTGTGTAGTTTGCTCTCTGCAGAATGCTTGTTTCTTGTGGAGTGTGGCTACCGAACAAGCAGTATTCCTCATTTCAGGTGAACTAACTTTAGCTGTTTAGCCAAATCCATTTTAATTTCTCCACTTGAAGTTGAATATTTGAGACTGAGAACAGCCGGCCCGGAACTGTAAGAGGGAAGCTCAGGGTCTTTTCCCACTGTCCCCCACTGAGTTTTGAGGCTAGAACCAGCTGGCCAATCCTAGGAAATTCTCTGAAGCCTTATGTTTCTGAGGAGGTTTTCTTGGATGGCCCTGGCCAACAAATGACAGTTCTTCAGTTATAAGTGGCACATTTGCTCTGGGGACAGACCCTTTCCCAGATAGCCAGCTCAGGCACCCCACCTCAATCTGCAAATGCTTTGGGGCCAGCTGGCCTACACCCTGCTTCCTTTCCTCAGGTTCACTCTGATTCTCTGGTCAGCCCTTTGGCACTTCTTCCTGAACCTTCTGTATAGGAACCCTTTTTCTCTGTTTCTTTTCCTCACTGTTTCCCACCACTTATACTCTTAAACGCTCATCAACTTTCAGTACTATTATCTCTCTTAGAGTTGCTTCATGAATCAATTTCTCTTTACTATAGGTCAGCGGTTCGCAAGAATTGCATCAAAAACATGCAGATTCCTATGAAATGTGTGTTTGGTATATAAATGGTCTCCAGCAAGTACCAACTGGAATCAGGTCGAGTCGTAAAAACAAATGGCTTGATTCCTTACAAAGCTTTCGAAAGTACAAGTATTATTAACTTCCTTTTAAGGCTTCACAAGTGAGCTGGTTTCTTATTTTAACTTCAAGTTACAATTTTCTGATTCACTCCTTGACAGTTCTTAATGATAATTTCTGTTTCTTTTTTTGGCTAATGAAATAAGCAAGAGAAGGGAAATGAATGCAGTGCCAGTCAGCCTAACTGTTTTGCAATATCCGAGCTTCTAAGTTTATTTTCTGCAGGTGTAGGTGGAATTTCAGAGCTTTGTGTGGTAGCCAGTGAACCTAGAGTTAAATTACAGGATGGAGCATTCTTAGAAATCCTCAAACAGTTGCTTTTCCATTCTTTACCTCTTTCCTTATTTTTATTTAACATTACCAAAATTAAATGCTAATGTACCAAACTAAAGTTTAAGCAATTATTTTAGTGGGTGGGTAGGTGGTGGTTCAAAGGCCTATTTCTTCACATACAAATGTTGAATAGGTTATGTTTAAGCGCTCCTGGGCATTTTTAGAGCACTTTTAAATCTTTAATTAATCCACATATTTGTGGTGGGTCAATGATATTATGGATGAGAAACACTGAATAGAACGATTATGTGATTAGCCAATCATTAAACAGCATAACCGAGAGCAAAGCCTAGAATCTCACTCTCAGCCTTCTGCCAAGGCCTCAGAACGTTCTTGTTACCTAACAATTTCATGTGCTCCATCTATGCAATGTCTGAATGTTTGTTTGCTTGCTTCTTTGTTCATCTTTGGAGATCTACTGTATATATTTATGCTAATTTTTATCAACCTGATACTTTGTTTAATGCTATTGGAAGCCAATAGGTTCCATTGCTGTTTAACAGTAAAGAAGTAGTCTTTTAAAAGTCACCCTAATTTAGCCATAATAATACCCCATATTATTTATTAGGAAGTAATATTTATTAGGGCATTGTTGAGGAATTAAGAGTCCTATCTATTTCAGAAAAGAATCAAGGATTCCTTTCTCTTTTTCTTAGTAACTGATGGTAATGGAAAGGAAACCATTAAGTAGGTTTGTGTTTGTTTGTTTGTTGCTTAGTTTGGTGAGAGATTTGGAGGATAGAAGATAGAATTTGAGGCCAGATCCTTTCTGTTTTCCCTAGTTTTTATTATATATAATTATTTTTAAAACTTTTAATTATATAAATAACCCAATTTATTTAGAATTGGACATTCTTAGGTTTGTTGTTGTTAAGTGTCATTGAACCGGTCAGTTCTGACTCATAGAAGCCCTGTATAGGGTTTCCGAGGAGCAACTGATGGGTCTGAATTGCCAAACCACCAACCTTGCGGATCTCAGCTCAGTGTTTATCTTACAGTGCCACACCAGGAGTTATAAGGGCATATTTGTCTTCAAAATAGCGCATCCTCTCTCTACTCCATGTGCTCCTTTAACTTACTGTAATGTACTGAAGAGGTGTTGCAAGGGACTGATTAGAAAGCACTATGATTACAAAGCACAGTGCTATTGAACTAGAGGGAAAAATCTAGCCTTTGTTAAAGATTTACACTTTGGGTCACCTGGTATCATGTTCATTAATTAAGCAGTTAAAGATTATACCAATATTTTAAAGAGTAGTTATTTCCATTTTATCTGAAACATGCTCTTATTCCTCAGATTTCGCCGCCAGCTTTCGGAACCCTGTAATTCCTTTCCTCCTTTACCGACAATGCCAAGGGAAGGACGTCCTATGTACCAACGCCAGATGTCTGAGCCAAACATCCCCTTCCCACCTCAAGGCTTTAAGCAGGAGTACCATGACCCAGTATATGAACACAACACCATGGTTGGCGGTGCAGCCAGCCAAAGCTTCCCCCCTCCACTGATGATTAAACAGGAACCCAGAGATTTTGCGTATGATTCAGGTAGGTTCATTTTTTGATGGAATTGCATTCAAATCATCTTCTTACTTACCTAAATACTTGGGTTAGTATTACCTTCAGACTGGATGGTTCCTGGCCATCTTTTATGGACTCTTTATGATTTTATCTTTTATTTGATTTTTTTTTTCTGCATGTGAAGTGTTTGACGGTGAAACCACTTTGACTTAAGCTGATGGCTTAAATAACATCTAGAAATAAAACCAGTCCAAAGGAAAGTCCAGTTTATAAAATTATGCACATTCTCAGTCCAAAATAGTAACATTTTAAGCCTTTTCTTGATTTTGTGATTATTTCTATCTTACTCCTGTACTATTTTGCTGTTTAATAGCTATATTTATAGAAAATATTCATCTATACTGAGTAACTTATTGATTATAGCTGTGTTTTGTTTCATTTTTCTTCATTGGTGGCAAAGATTTCAAAGACCCTGAAGTAGAGATGAGTGTATATAAGGAGAGGAAGGGCAATATACAGATTTATAGTCTGTAGGGCTCAGCTGTAGTCTCATTTTAGCCAGAAAGATTCCACAGAACGTTATTTCAAAGTGGGGAGGGATTCACTGAAAGTGAAGAGGACCTGTAGTCTGTTCTAGTTGTTACCATGAACTTTGCCAACTTTTGGCTTGAGATCTGGAGATCTTAGAAGTTTGATTTAGCCGATCCATGCTGAGTTTCTCCTGTTATGAACTGGAAAATCAGAATATCTGCTTTCTCACATTTCAAGTATTTTGAAAAGATGGATGAAATAAAAGCTAATGTCTATAAAAAGGTATCATACATCCCTCAAACAGTATTGTTGTTGTTGTGGTTAAGTGCTGTCCAGTCAATTCCAACCCATAGTGACCCTGTATAGGGTTTCTGAGGAGCAGCTGGTGAGCTTGAACGGCCAACCTTGCAGTTTAAATGGCTTTGCAGTCTGGCACATTAACCCACAGTGCCATACCAGGACTCCAGTATTATTATTAGCATTACTATAATCATGTGGTGAATTGATGGTTGAGAGCCTGGAAATATTTGAGAGCAAGTAATTTTCTTTTGTGAGGATGCAAAGTTATGGATATTCTTTATGAATGAATGATTGCTTTTCTAATAGTAACTCTACCGAGTGTGTTTCTATCACCTGAGGAAAGAAAATTGTCTTTAGTTCTTGATTTTCCAACTTACATAAAATTGCTTTCTTTATTATGCAATGCCTTAGAGCTGACCTCGAGGGGTGCCCCTCCCTTCAGTCCTGAAATTTGGAAAGAATCCCTCTGGATATCTTTTTGTATTATCCTTCCTCATGGGCTAGAAATTCTAAGAGCTAAGGGGAATTGCCAACTCAGAAGTGAAATTGCCTACACTTTCTAATATCATTTCAGTTACCTGGTACCCAAAGATTCTTGGTCCACTGACCTTGAGTCCACTTCCAGGGTATGAGCATGTCCATCCCAGGTCCATTTTCCTGAGAGTAGAGTGCACCTGTTAACATGTGTCTATACCCAGGTCCCAGAGGGCAGCCACGGGGCAGTTATTTGTTTGGGGGATGAGGACAAAGTTTGGATGCGCATAATTGCCCACATGCTTATTTATGTTTGAGGCCCCTACCATACAGTACAATTTTGAATTGAGGGGTAGGAAGAGGGTTGATGACCTGGGCTGGTTTTCTCTATACCATCCTATTCCAGCACTAATCTTAGGAAATTCTCAAAATTCTAAATTTGACCTGGTTGTTTTGATGATGTATTTTTAAGGATGGAGGAGAGGACATAATTTATTTAAGAGTTTATTTAGCTGATTTATAATTTAAAAAATTTATTCATATGGTCGAGAAGAGACTTTGTTTGGATTTTTGCTCCAGGCCTTTAAATCTGGGGGCTGACCTGAAATGTCCCATATAACTGGTTTCAGTTTAGAACACTTCATAAATAAATTATTGTACATATCCATAATGAAAACCCAACAATATAATTGTTTTTATAACAAATGGGATGGAATTCTCTCTGTAAGTTGCAAATACTGTTAACTGGTATTATCCTCATCCTTCAAACCACATGTTAATGCTGCTGTGTAAATTTTTTATTCATCATAATCTCAAGAAACTTTATACAGAGTTCATTTTTAAAAACGCAAATAACTGATTTTAGAAGATAGGTATAACATGACATTTAAAAATTCCTTCATGTGTTGCAGACATGTTTTTATTTGTAAATCTCTCAAAGTGTAACATTAAAATGGTTTTCTTGATTCTGTGGTTTACTCCATACATATATTTATATATTTCCCCCCTTATACTTATCTTATATATGGAGTTCTGGTGTGGTGCTATAGGATAAGCACTTGTCTGCTAACTTCAAGGTTGTTGGTTCAAACCTACCAGCTGCGCCTCAGACACCCCACACCAGGTCACTATGAGTTGGAACTGGCTTGATGGCACTTAACAACAATATAACATTAAAGACATATTAGACGATACTGAGAATATATAGTCTTTAAGAGATATGAACCCCACTGGCGGTGATACTGTAAGATTTAATCACATTATTTGTGGACCTCACATAAACATGAACAGAGATTCAATCACTGACCCTCAGAAATACAGATTTAGTCATTTATAACCATCCAAAATGAAGTCTAGTGACTTATTGTATAGGCATGTAGGGTGTCTGTCTCTTTTGCCATATGTATCTTTTGCAAATGACTTGTAAAATACTTTTCTTAACATTGAAAAAATGAATAAATGAAGCCCATTACCATCCTGTTGATTCTGTCTCATAGTGACCCTATAGGTGAGGTTAGAACTGCCTTTTTGGGTTTCCATGGCCTCCAGTTTTTAGAAAACAGACTGCCATGTCTTTCTCTTGTGGAGTAGCTAGTGGGTTTGAACCACTGACCTTTCACTTAGCAGCTGAACCCTTAACCACTGCACAAACAGGGCCCTTTTAAAATATTTAATGAAGTGTTAGTTTTGTGTTATTTTAGGGGTGGTTGTTGTGTGTCATCAAGTTGGTTCCCATACATAGGGACCCTGCCTAGGGTTTCCAAGCCTATAAACCTTTATAGGAGCAGAAAGTTTCATCTTTCTCTGATGGGGCAGTTGGTGAATTCGAACTGCTGACCTAGCACTTAGCAGCCCAACATGTAACCCACTATGCCTCCAGGGCTCCTTTAAAAATATTTAATAAGTTTTGTTACTTTACCTGCTCTGTACACCACTGTTAAATTCTTATTTCAGTACTGCCAATAATATATGGCTTAAATAGTTTTGAGAGTAAAGTTGTGTCTTCTGGAAACAGTTTTAAAGCCATGTAGTAACAGTGTAACTGGGGCCCATGAAAAATTAATCTGCGGGTATCAAAATGTATTTTACTGCCCACAAAATTGCTGCAATTAAGTTGACACATCTCTGTATGTCATGCACTGTAGTCAACAAGTATGATTTCTAGACATTTTGTTCTGTTGCCATCTCTTCTCTCATCTTTGCCGAGAGCACATTAAATAACCTCTTAGGAAATCTAGCACATTTATTACTAAATCATTGATCTCTTTTTTCACCAATTAAGCTTGAAATAATAGAAGCAATTTTCTATCTGGTTTAAAAATAATGCAAAGAATATCTTACAAGTCAATTTACTAAGCGTTTATGATCCAAAGGTTGTCCTTTGAGGAGGCCTCTAGAACTCTTTATTGCTTAATTCAATATACCATGAATGTTGTGGAAATAAAAGAAACATCGTAAGTGAAAAGGCAGTTGATTGTGCTCTAATAGAACTTGACATTAATTATGACATGGGAAATGGAAGGACTATTAGTTATAATTATAATTACAGGAATGTAATTTCAACTGCCGAATATTTAAGATAAAAAATGCAAAATATTATGTTAGTAGATTAGAAATTTCTATTTAAGAGTGAAGACAAATTCAGATCAGAAGACACTGAGGAGATAAAAAAAATAATATTTAGGTCCAATTGTGGTATAAAAGGGAGTCCAGGTGTGGCCCTGTAGGTTAATGCACTGGACTGCAAGGCCAGTTTGAACCACAAGGTCAGTGGTTCAAGCTTACCAGCTGCTCCTAGGAAACCTTATACATGGTCACTGTGAGTCAGAACTTAACAATAACAAGTGTGGCACTGTAGCATCAGAACTCTGCTGCTAACTTCAAGGTCTACTGTTCAAACTCATGAGCCACTCCTTGGAAACGGTATATTGCTATAGTCCAAATCGACTAGATGGCACTTAAGAAAACATGTTATGATAATACAGTGTGATAATCCTGCTGTTGTTCATGAGTGCCCTTGTGTAGGTTCTGACTCATAGTGACCAGGTATAGGGTTTCCAAGGAATGGCTGGTGGATTTGAATCACCACCTTGCAGTTCAGTGCTTTTCCTACAGTGCTACACCAAGACTTCATATCATAATGCTAAGTTCGGAAATGTCTGTTACGATACGTGCATTATTGTCATTTCCATTATCATTTCTAGCTAACTAGTGCTACACAAAACAGTATTTGGGATTTTTGTTCATTTTGGCTTAAATCTACATGTTAGTTTCCTTGACCCTTTGGTCAAGTGACTACAAAACAAACAAACAAAAACTCACTGCCATTGACTTAATTCTCTCATAGCCTAATAGTGACTCTGTATAGAGTTTATGAAACTGTACATCTTTACAGGAGCAGACAGCCTCATCTTTCCCCAACAGCTCAGCTGGTACACTTGAACTCCTGAACTAACAGGCTCCTTACATGGCCGCATAGTGATGGTGGTGGTTGTGTACCAGCAGGTTGGTTCCAACTCATAGTGTCTCTGTATCAGGTTTCCAAAGCTGTGAATCTTTACAGGAGCAGAAAACCTCACCTTTCTACCATGGAGTGACTGGTAGATTTGAACTGTTGACCTTGCAGTTAGCAGTCCAGGGTCCACAAGAGGAATTAATATGAGCACTGAGGAGTCCCGGTGTGGTGCTGTAGCATAAACACTGGTCTGAAAGGTCAGTTTGAA